AATCGACTTTGAATTTCTTTCCACGTTCGAAGGCCTGTGTACTCTTTATACATGACATAGAGACATGACTTTAATTTCCTCTTTTAGGCGTTGTTATGAACATATCAGTGCCAATAGAATCAACATTGAGCCCTTTGCGTATGGTGCTTACGATTCTACCATCTGTTCCTCCTCAAATGTTATACTTGTATCGCATTGTAAACTATGGTAGCTCAAATACAAGTATTGGGACCAAATTGCACACAGTGATCCGATGCAGTAGCAATGCGATAAGCACCTTAACGATAACTAGGCTAGAGCCAATCGCGGCTGAGCGCCCCCCTTCCACCGGGCTGACTCAAGCAGTGGGGTAGCAGTTAGCACACACTTTATCACAAAATTAAACTAGTGGTGTTACAGAATGACACAGACTTTCCCGTATTACTTTTTTATTTCCTTTGGTCTCTTTTGGGGCTATTTAGACTTGCTATTGTATTGAATAATTTCTAAAAGATGTTTTGCGTCTGTTCAAAATGTATAAATTTGGACATAAATTAGTTCTTAATTAGTACAAAATTCTTTTTTTTTTTTAGTTTTTTTGTTTCGTGCGTTTTTCTTATGAAGGAATGCTGACTTAACGTTAAGTTAGCGCATTCACTTTTAAACGTGGTATATTTTGTTGTTCTGCATCAGTTCAATTTTTTTTTTAAATTAGTGTCAATTAGTTCTTAATTAATACGAAATTCTGGGATACTCTTTTTTTAATTTGATGATAAGTGGGTGTGCTAACTGTACGGACATAGTGGGCTACATCGGCGACAGTTCGATGATAAAACGCCAATTGGAGCAGCCCTGCTATAAACGACTTTTAAGTTCAGATACGCAAGTTCATATACATACAGTCCGTCTCGCACTGGCAAACTGGTGCCACTGTCAGATTTATTCTTCTAATTATGGAGCAGGAGTATAGGTAGACGAGTGGTTTGGTGATTACACGTCTGGACAGCGGGATACAAATCCCGATTGATCCATGTCGAATTTGTGGTGTATAAAAGAGGGTCTAGGCAGGTTTTCTCGAAATTATCCCGTTTCCCTTGTCCCTATTTCCACCATTGTTTCACCATCATTAAAACGATAAACATCATTACCCATCACAAATACTCATCCCAGTTGTGTCCAAAAAGAGTAGATATTCAGGATCATAAAGTAAAACAACGCGCGCGGCATATGTCCATATCACGCGAGCCAGACTTGTAAGACTAGCTTATGGTGTTATGGCGCAGTTAACTTCTCTCAGTCTTTCTTTCAAGCCATGCAGTTGGCACCCAATTATTTAGATTTTCATTTTTTCATTGAATATTGTGTTACAATGACAATACAATATTCAGCCGCAAGGCTCTTCCGCTGATTGGCCGAGTATCTTTTTTACCACCAAAGTGTGAGGGTGATAACTTGTTGTCACCATGATTAGATGAAACCATCAACCAAGGTTATTGACAGGATAATTTGGAAGTGTAGTTGGGGGGCAAATGGCAGAGGCTTGGAAAAAAATAGAGTTTAGAAAGGACTACGGTAGGTGACATAGGTAAATGTAAAAAATTAGGTTGCCATAGCGATGCTTGGTCTCGTATAGAACGGAAAGCTATCACGCAGGTAAAGATATCCAGCAAATATCTTGAAATAATTATTCTCTCGGAACAAAACAAAGAACCGCCAAAATGCGAGATTATAATAAACGTCAAATGTAAGGGAAGACGACGCAAAGTTTTAAAAGCAGTAGTTATTTGTAAGTTATTTCATTACCATTTGCCTTAGTGATATCAATTTTGTCAATTGGCACTTCACTGCTTCAACAGACGAACCCCCCTTTGATGTTCTTATGTTGGGACCAGCTAAGGTGGCTTAGGGCATCCACTGATGTCACTAGCGCCTTTGCCCAGGAGGTCGAGTCCCGACGATAGGAGGATTTTCGACATTGGCTAGATAGCTTGATCGAATCAACCGCTGCCTGGAGGAGAATTTTGACAACTGGCTGCTCTGATCGGTAGTTTTCTTATTTCTCCCATCAATAACACGCGAATTCCGCAGAATTACCCTAACAAAAGGGTAACGGTCCGCGAGCCTTCCTTGTCCTATCCTTACCTTTTACTTTCACAAAATTACACTTAAACTTACTACACATATGTCTGGAGCTTAGGGCTCGTCCCGCTTGGGGAGGTGTCCCGCTGGTTGGAAATTCCTGGATGGATAATAACCCTGTAAGCCTACATGTAGTTAGGCACCGGATCTCCACATCCAGCCACTTTTCATGATAAAAACGTGTACAACAATTACTAGTTTTCCGTGGTTTCTCCGATCAATACCAGGTGAATGCCAGAGCAGTACCCTAACAATCGGGCCACGGACCGCGCGCAATCTTTCCTGCCTCTTCCCTGTCCTATCCTCTCCTCTTACACACACACTAACACGCACTACACAATCACACATGACGGGAGGCAGGCTGAGAGCTTGTCCCGGCTGGGGCTGTGCCCCGCTGGTGGGAGAAATCTGGTTGGGGAAAATCGCGCTAGCCGACGGTAGATCGGCGCTGTATCTCGCCATACAGCGAGGGAAATATCACGGCCATCAACCGAGCAAAAACATGCACTATACTTACGGACCTAATGACCCTGGTAGTTGACGCACCCGGACTCACTAAATCAACCAATCAAACAAACAATCAATCAATCAAACAATCAATCACAACACTTACGGGACTAATGACCTCTACCGTAACCACGAAATAATCAGTCAACCAATGATTCGCGTCGGGGGTTGCCGTGTGTTCGCAGCTGAAGGAGGGGGAGCGCAGGGCGGAGCACGAGGGCCCCGCCTGCCCCGAGTCGCCGACGTGCTGCAAGCGGGACGCGCTCTTCCGCCGCGCCGACGGCGCCTGCAACAACGAGTTCCGTCCGCGCTGGGGCGCCGCCGACACCGCGCACTCGCGCGTGCTGCCCCCGCGCTACCACGACGGTAAGCACGACTCGCTTTTAGAGATACTAGAAGTTAGTGCATAAGTCATATACCGAAAATAGTCTGAATATTTGGGACTTTTAGTAATATGTATAATATATAATATATAATATATGATATATAATATATAATATATGATATATAATATATGATATATAATATATGATATATAATATATGATATATAATATATGATATATGATATATAATATATGATATATAATATATGATATATAATATATATTTAATATGTATCTATGGGGACGCCGGCGAGGTAAAATAAACAAGATGACGTTAGAGTAGAAGGGGCTGCAGAGGAAGGCCTGATGGATACAGGCGTGGCAGATAGCGTCGATCGAGTCTAAAAATATGGAAATGATTAATAAACGATTAAATTTATATCTGTGAATCGAGTGTGGTTGTTACTAGCTACGCGGAACAGTGAGGAGCTAGGTCGCATATTGCCGGCGTTGGACGTGCTATAGAGAAATTGTTATAGGACATTGTTCGGGAGTGGGCACCAAAGCTGGGAAGTCTAGTGAACTTTACAGAACTTCGCAATTAAAGTTAATTGTATTAGGATATTGGAGCGGAACAAAGTACGAAGATAAAAGATCTTCGTGGCGACTTCCACCCGAGAAAGACGAAGAGCGTGTGAAGATCGGTGATGTATCTTAAACAAAAAACTATTTTCAATAATTTTATAAAATATTAAATAGGAGTTAAAACTAAACAATTTGCTAGCTCATTGATTTATAATAGAATAATTGAAAATAAATACTAAGTATTGTTTGATATGCTATTTATTTAGTAATTACGTGCAATTCATTAATAGTAGAAAAAAATGAATTTCCAGAAAATTGCTTATTCGTACGAATGGCACGACAACCAATTTTAGTGGCAGAAATGGCAGTAAAATTACGTATCGAACCCGAGTGAACTAATAGAGCTAGCAAGGCACATTTGGATCAGAAAACATCAGAAAACAGTACAAAGGCAACTGTTTTTGTGAAAATAGGATTAAGAGTGGAAATGTTTAATGTACACATGACAGGACAAGGTATGAACTAAATACCACACAAACATTGTGTTTATCGCATTTATTAAGGTGTTTCAAATGTACTGGTTTCATGTTCCAAAGGATTTGAGCATATGCGAGTTTCCAACATTCGAAAATTACGTAGCCGTGCTAAAGGTCATATGAGGCGTAGGCGCGATTACCGCACGTGCCACATTGGCCATAGGTCGTCACGTGCGTTGCTGATTAATGTTTGCTTCGCGTTCTGGCAGAAACACTCCTGCCCGTCTCGCGCCTGTCCGGTCTGGAAGGGCATTATTCCCAAGAGCTTCCACCGTGACCGTCCTGCAAGGCGACTTCTTTCGATGTTGTACACGTACGCTTCCGCGGCTCGAGTTCATGACTTCTAGGCTGTCCGGGTGACGCCGCGTCGTTGGCAGAAAGGCCAGCGACACGGCCTCTCTGCCAACGACACGGTGTCACCCGGACAGCCTAGAAGTTCTTTCGATGTTCCCATGTCCCTTCTACTCATCTATCCATCAGATCGTCTACTCGGCGCAATCCAAGCACTAAAACGTTTCCCTACACTCAATTGTCGGACCTTGTTTTGACTAACCTAGCATGCCTTCCCTTACTATACCGACCTTGTTCCTGCTTTTCTTGCATTATTTTATGAACAAAAATATTTAATTAATAAATATTTTCTAAATTAATTAAAATGTAATTAATTGTGTCATCTTTTTATAATTGAGATGACATGGTTCATTTCAACGTTTCCTAATAATTTTTAAATAGGCCTACATATAAAATTTTCCCTTTAAAGTTTCAAAAATTTCATCCTAAAATTTTCCGTCGTCTGTTGCCCCGCCCCCTTCCTCACTTGTGTTGAACGGGTGCCGAAATGTCATTGGTATGCAACTGTTAAATACCGACGACAGTTTTTAGGAGGGTTTAACGACCCCCGCAGGTTTTGGGTCCCCGTGTGTTGCAGGCGTGTGGGAGCCGCGGCGCAGCGTGAAGGGCGGGCCCTTGCCCAACCCGCGCACCATCAGCACCTCCATCTTCCCGGACCGCGACGCCCCGCACGAGTACGCGTCGCTGCTCGTCATGCTCTTCGGCCAGATCGTCTCGCACGACATCCTGCTGACTCCCAGCATCCAGCTCCGTAAGCGCCGCTGCCCGCGACTAGACGCTCCTACTGTTGTTGTTTGTTTGATTAGTGATTCTGGACGCATCAAATGCTACGGTCGTTAGTCCCGTAAGTGTAGTGCGTGTTTTTTTATCGCGTGAGATGGTGGTGATTTTCTCTAGCTGGATGGCGAGATCCGGCACCGACCTATTTCGGCTTGCAAGATTTCCCCCAGCCAAGTATCCCCCACCAGCGTGGCGCAACCTCAGCCGTATGTGTGCTAGTGTAGTTCATGTGAAAGTAAGTGAGGGTGTGTGGATAGGACGAGGAATAGGAAGGAAAGATCGCGCGCGGTACGTCGCTCGTTTGTTAGGGTATTGTATTCCTCCGGCATTCACCTGGTGTTGATCGAAGAAACCACGAAAAAACTACCGATCGTAACACTCGGCCGTTATAATTCTTCTCCAGACAGCGGCTGAATTCGACCTACCTATGTAGCTAGTGTCGACAATCCTGCCGCTGTCGGGACTCGAACTCTTGGAGCTGGCAGTCAGAGGCAGCGATACCCTGAGCTACCTAAGTCGATTTTTCCTGTAAGGTGTAAGAAAGGGGGTGAGGGGAGAATTTTACGAAATCTCGTGCATGCAGTAACATTTTTCTTATTTTGAAGGTAATATGTACAAAATCTCATTAAAATTGGAATAAAACTGAAGATTTACATGACCAACCAAAGAAACAATGAAACAAACATTCTTTAAATAAGAGAAAATAATTATTTGAAGAATATTGGGCTAAACTTTTCCCGACGGAACACACTACCTTCATTGAACACCGCACCGAAATCGGTTTTGAGCAGTGGCTCGAAAGTGGGCACGTAAGGTTTACGATGTAATTACGCGGGGCAAATTAACTGTGATACCTCTCATGGAGTCTCGATTTCCGATATTATTTTATTCCGATTATTTATTATTCCGATATACCGTACAGCACGCGCATGTGCAAAGACGCACAATTTCCTCCATTATATATAACGAAGAATCATTCATCCGTTTTTATATTTCCCTCGTAACCACGATATTCTCGATTCAGGAGAGTTATGCAGTGTATATGTAGCTCCGTATGGAAGGCAATACCGAGAAATAACATGTCAGTCAAAAAAATAAAACTAGCATGTGTGCGCGCGTTGGTGTGTGTGTTCAGACTGTTGCCAGATTTTGTGGAATTCCGCTTTTGGGGATGGAAAACTGCTCTCTCTCGCGGGCACAAAAATTTCGCAGAATACTGCCCAACGGGCGGAAATACTTCAAAACATGTGCTGTTTTGAGCGGGTTTTCAGATAACGAGGAAGTTTTCAAAAAACAACCTCGATGACGTTGACAGAGTGTTTGATATTTTTTTTAATTTGTCATATCATGATTTTTCATTAATCATTTGTTAATTCGTTCAAATTTACTTTGAGAAGAGAGTAATGTTAATTTTTTAGACCTGTAGTATAGGGTGTGTTCTAAAACTCATACTCATTTGTCGTACACAATATGAGCATATAATACATTGACAGTACTTGGAGTTAATTTTAGAAGATGACATTTAAAACTAGTCATCTTTTGTGAAGTGCAGTTTCACTACTAGCATTTTCCGTCAATTCATAGGAAATAAGTATGTCCATGTAAGCATTTCTGTGTTTTTAAGCGCAGATATTCGAGAGGAGCAAGGAGAGTGAAAATGGACAAGTGAGGAAATTATTTTATTCCTTAAAGTATTCCTCCCATCTGCTGTAGTCATAACAATAGTCATAAATAATTTTTAAATATTAATATATAACTCATTATTACAAAAACTATAAGTTTTTACATTATTATTATTATTATTATTATTATTATTATTATTATTATTATTATTATTATTAAAAATGTTCCACATGCAAAAAATAAAACTAACCAAGCATTTCAGAGGGCCACTATCTCAAAAAAACCTAATACAATTATTTTGATGCATATTCAACTGTACCGCTTGGAATGTTGATTTTTCTTTTTCTTTTTGGGCGGATTTACATCCATGTAACGGCGGATGTTTGCACGAAGCGTCTGGCAAGCCTGCGTGTGTCGCAGGCAACGGCAGCGGCGTGATGTGCTGCACGGCGGACGAGGCGCGCGTGCTGCCCGCCGACCGCCTGCACTTCGCGTGCATGCCCATCACCGTCCCGCCGCGCGACTACTTCTACGCGCGCTTCGGCAAGCGCTGCATCAACATGGTGCGCTCGCAGCTGGCGCTGCGCGACGACTGCGAGCTGGGGCCCGCCGCGCAGGTGGGACCGCGCACCCGTGGTTTATAGCAGTAGTGCAGTAATACGAAATAACCAATCCACTGTCATCCGGATCGTTAAGGCAGTAGTGCCGTAGCGATCTCGGACTGATTGCGAGTTCGAGCCCCGACTTGGGTATGGTTTCATTTGTGTTTGGCCTTCAATCATGTCATCTTCACAGTTACCATAACTTTCAATCCAGTTGTGGTCGCTAATGCCCTAGATGGTGATGCGACCTTAAATAACAAAAATAAAAAAAAGTACCAATCAACCTTTGGGAAAACCCATTAGTCGTGCTTGTGTTTGGTGTGTTGCGCAGCTGAACAAGGTGACGCACTTCGTGGACGCGTCGGTGCTGTACGGCAGCACGAAGGAGGTGGCCGATCGCCTGCGCGCGCACAGCGGCGGGCGGCTGCGCGCGCACTTCGAGTGGGGGCGCGAGTTCCCGCCGCTCAGCACCGACCCGCCCACCTGCGCGCCCGTGCGGCCCCCGCGCCCCTGCTACTTCACCGGTGAGCGCGACGCAGCGGACGCCCACGCGCGTTGCTTTCTTCTCTGCGTCGTCTTCTTATTCTACTGCAACGTCATGAAGTCGTCCTTCTTCTTCTTCTTCTTCTTCTTCTTCTTCTTCTTCTTCGTCTTGGCCGCATAACCGCCTCCTTACGTTTCCTTTTCTCTGCTTTCCTCGACTTCCTCTCCTTCATCTTCATCGTCTTCATATTTACTGTACGGTGAGCGCGTCGCAACTAAACGGATACCCACATGCGTTGCTTTCTTCTCTCCGTCGTCTTCTTATTCTACTGCAACGTCGTAGTCATCCTTCTTCTTCGGCTTGGCCGCTTTATCCGCCTCCTTACGTTTCCTTTTCTCTGCTTTCTTCGACTTCCTCTGCTTCGTCTTCATATTTACTGTACGGTGAGCGCGACGTGACTTTAACGGACACCCACATACGTTGCATTCTTCTCTTCGTAGTCTGCTTGTTCTACTTCAACGTCTTTGTCTTTCTTTTTCGCCGGTTTGGCCGCTTTATCCGCCTCCTTACGTTTCTTTTTCTCTGCCTTCCTCGACTTCTTCTTCCCTTCATCCTCTTCACATTTTTCATACTCGTCTTGTTCTTTTCTCTCCCCTTGCTCTTTACCTCATCTTGCCCTTTTCCTTCCACATGTTTATTTCATCTTCTTTTTCTTCTATTGTTTTACTTTATCGTGTCCTGCTTACGCAGTGTGGAGGAAGTATTGTAATGCTGCAAGGAAAACTGCGATTTATCGACAGAAAAACTCTTATTGCCAGAGCCTGGAAACGAAAAAGTGGATACATATTGTTTCTTTATGTAGTAAATTACTTCCTCCTTTTTTTCTAAAAAAAGACTATTTTTCTGCAGATTTTCTTTTTATATCTATCAAAAGACTTTGTATGTATCACAGAACGGTAAAAAATTATGATAGTCTCGTTTTTAGCATTCTCTCAGTATTTTTAAAAATTGCCGGAAGGTAACACTTCAAAACTACAAAGCAGATAGAGGTTTGGGCCTTAAACAAAATCTCTTCTAAAATGAAGCCCTGTAAGAAAGTGTATTTACAATGTCTTGTAAAAACAAATCATTTCGCGTTAATTGTACTCGAAGTTAATGTAATTTATAAAAAAACATTTTTTCAAAAAACAATTCAAATGTTTTCTTCAATTTTTTCTACCGAAAGAACATGAATTCTTAAAAGAATTGTTCTGTTCTCATTTTCATTGAAATCTTTGAATTTTCGAAAAAAGCAAATTTAGAAAGTACGTCCCGTTGAAGCACGACTGGTTTTTTCTAGACTACGTAGTGCTAAGTTAAGATGTACGATGTATGTGAAGTACAATGTAGTGTAGTAGAGATATTCTGTACTTTACTCGTGTCCTTAAAATGTTAAAGAAATATTTCAATTTATTAAGAGGGAGTGGAATTCATCAAATGTTTCAATGTGTCTATTTTTAGAATTTTACATTAATCAAATCTACAGACAATAGGATACTCTGTGTGCCTTTTTGTGGCACTACTAGTCCCTAATTGAAAACTAATATTTTACGAACATCTTTACATTTACAACCGGTTTGCTATTGTATTGTTAAGGCAAAGCAGAATCGCTCGTTTGGTTGCAAATGTACCATTTAGTGCAAATTGTATTTTTACTTGTATCTAATTCCGTTCCCTGGTAATAATTTTTTCTAATACCGGAAGGGCGAACACTGTCTAATCGTCAAAATACTCTCTTTCCGCCTCTGTCACTACGAGCAATATGTGAATTAATATTAAGTTTTAAACAACTGCGCAACTGTGCAAAATATGTGAGCCTCTGGCTTTGCCTCGCACCTGCTTATCATGCTACACACAACCCATGCCTCGACTTGGGTGGCCAGCGAAACATGAAATCTCTTGCAATTCGGAACGCTGCGTAATATGGAAAACTGATTACCCGTGGGTAATTTTAATATCGTCCCAGTATCCATTCTTCTATTTCGTGCTGTCGCAACCTACGAAATCTCTCCGTATAAAGATCCTGAGTTTTACCAGAGGATCTGTAGTACTATTGTTCGCTACATTTCAAATGCATTCCCAAATCTCGTATATTTTTCTCCTCTTTCGACTATCTGAAGACAAATAACGATTTTAGCTTACGTCTTCGACACAAATTATAGAGAAAATATAGGACCAATGTCTTTAGATAAACGCAAAGCCATTGTCAGTATATGGCTTATAGGTTTATTAAATAAATTGCACCAAAAAAGTCACACATTTTTTATGCCTGATTCGGAAGAAGAGGACGTTTCGTTCGTTGCCGAATCTCGTGTTCGAGCTGGCTGAGGAACTCCGTCTCCCTCCCCGACCTTTATGACCTAGATTATAACTAATGGCTTCAGTTGACGGGCGGGAAACACCAATCAACCAGGCAATCAACCAATCAATCTACAAACCAAACGATCAACCAATCAATCAATCAATCAATCGACAAATCAATCAACTGACCAGTCAATCGTTCAATCACTCACTCATCCAAACAATCGACCAATCAATCGATCGTTCAATGAATCAATCGTTCAATCAATCAATCATCCAAGATATCAATCATACAATCAATCAACCATATCAATCAATCATACAATCAACAAATCAGCCAATCGTCCTATCAGTCAGTCATCCAATCAATCATCCAATCAGTCAATCAGACAATCAATAAATTAACCTTGAGTGTGGTGCGCTGCATAGGCGACGTGCGCGCCAACCAGATGATCGGGCTGGTGGCGATGGGGCGGCTGCTGCTGCGCCAGCACAACGCGCTGGCCGACGCCCTGGCCGTCATCAACCCGCATTGGGATGACGAGCGCCTGTACCAGGAGGCGCGCCGCATTGTGGGAGCGCAGTTGCAGCACGTACTCTACAACGAGTGGCTGCCCGTCGTCATAGGTGAGTAAGTGAACGAGCACGGAGTGAAGGGACTCCTTCTTCGGCCTCTTCTTTGTCCTCGGCCTTTTCTTAACTTTTTATCTCTGTCTATTCACTTTTCTTTCTGTCTCTTTTTTTATTAATATTCATTTTTTATTCTCTTTTTACCGGCTGAAGTGGCCCAGAGTTTCAAATGATGACACTTCTATGTATTTAACTGGGGAGGTCCCAGGGTTTGAGTCCCGATGGGGATGGATTTTTGACTTGACAGCTTGGTCGAATTCAGCCACTGTTGAGAATTCTAGAGGCTGGCTGTCCTGGACGGCAGTTTTCGTGCTTTCTCCAATCAAATCCAGGCGAATGTTGAAGCAGAACCATAACAAACGGGCCACGGACAGCGCGCGATCTTTCCTTCCTATTTTTATGCTATCCTCTTCCCTAATATTCTCACGCGTATACTTACACTTACATGTTCTACACTATCACGTATGTTGTGAGTTTAGAGTTTGTGCAAGTTGGGCGCTGCCCTGCTGGTGAGAATTACCTCCATGGAGAAAATTACCGCCATCCGACGCCTTATTTTCCGCCGGATCTCACCATTCTACATGAGAAAAACACCTCAGCTTCCGGGATAAAAAACACACTACACTTACGGGATTAAAACCATATTCTTACATCTCTTCCCTCTCTTCCTTGCCCCTTCCCTCTCTCCCACTCTGCCCCCTCTCCACCCCTCCTCGCTCTCTTCTTGTTCTTCTCAGTCTTCCTGCTCCTTTCGCTTCTTCCACTCTTCTCGCTCCATTCGCGCATTTTGTTCCGCTCCGCCTCCTCCTTGTCTGTCCTGGTCTCTCGTGGCCGCATCTCGCATCACTCGACAACAATAGCGGATTCCATTTAATTATTGTAAATTATTATTATTTATTTTAATAGTTAAATATTGTACAAAATATATTTTGTCGGAGTGAATCGCAGCTATGCTATTTTTATTCTTAATCGCTCAAAAGTATTCGAATGTAATTTGAGAGCAGTGATTCTAATGTTTTTGTGTCGCATAGAAAAATACATACTCTCACTGTTATACAATAGTTGTGAAACATCGCATCATAATGTATAATGTCCACAACGCCATAATTCAGGAAGTGTTAAGTCACAGAATTATCTTTACTTCGGTAGATCCATCCTATTTGGTGGCGCAGACATGTCTGGTCGCTCCACATATTCTACAGCAGGCCTCATGATGCTTCGCGACACAAATACAATGACACCACTGTATTTTTTCTGAATTCAGGTCGAATAGCGATGACCGACTATCGTCTATGGCCTCTTGAAGAGGGCTACAGTGACGAATATGACCCTAGAACGGACCCGACCACTTCTCTGGAGTTTGCTACAGCCGCCTTTCGATATGGCCATTCTACAGTCGATGGAATCATCAAGTACGTATCTCTCGCCAATAGCTCCAGGATCTACGACCAACATCAGGATGTTGAAATAGTTTCGGGAGACTAATCATCCACCAATCAGGCATAGTTTTTTCCTTGAGATTGTGACGTCTTGGGCTCCTAGGGCTGCACGGCGGTCATAGTCAAGCCGACATTTCAGTCTGCCGACGTCGGGCGTTTGCATCCTATAAGCCTGATTTACACGTGCTGGTTAATGGAAATGGGAATATTGAAGGCAAATGACCTCTTTTTGAGGCATCAACTGTCGGACGAAGATCTCCTTCGTTTGATTCTGTCGTTTCCATTGGCTCAAAATTAGCTGGAGATCCAGGCCATCTCTTAATACCACTACTACCTGCTATGGTTAGCGTGCTGCGTGCAAATGGATCAAACAATGAACTATTCGGACGATTTCAGATACAACATTTGGGTTGTTTTTTGTTTGTGTTTTTTTTGGGGGGGGATGAAAAAGTCGGACGAGTTCGCTCGCAGGTCGTCCGGTAGCAAACGACCGAAATTTCGCTTGATCTGTGACCGTAGTCTAATGCGGTGGTCACAGTGAAATTTTGGTCGTCCGGTCAAAACCAAAAGAAACAAGTCGTCTGACAGCCGATGTTTTTGGACGCCGTCGGAAAAGTTTGTTCCGATTCACTACAAAAAGTTACGTTTACGTGTTTCGCGCACGTGTTCGGACAAATTCGGCATATCGAACGACGACGTTCGACGTCAGTCGACAGAAATCGCGACCAAAATCGATTCCGCTATAACCGCCGCATAATACCACAACGTAACACATTATTTAATTTATTATCATTTTTCCCGCATGATCGTTTACTATCCATCATGCACTGAAAGGCAAATGCGAACCACAATTGTGAACACCTGGCCAGGAAATAGGATGTCAGGGTATAGGTTGTAAGTACCCTTCCCTCATCAACGCTCGCTAATGAATGTGCCACTCATCACGGGCATAGAATCGGACTAAATAGCGCACAAAGTGTAATTGTTTCCATATGGCAACATTCGATTGATATATTTATAGTAAATAAATATCTATGTCTTTGGTCCTGTTGTTCCATAGACGGAAATTACGTGACCCATCCCTAGTATTTATCTGCACCGTATCTTGATGAGATTTTTGGTATGATATAATCAGGTAGTTTCCCGTAACTTTCCCTGACAATTATTATTATTATTATTATTATTATTATTATTATTATTATTATTATTATTATTATTATTATTATTATTATTAATAATAATAATAATAATAATAATTATTATTATTATTATTATTATTATTATTATTAATGAATTATGAGGTGTCAGGGTGATGATGAGGGGTGTGAGGACTAGGATGAGTGTGCGAGCTGGCAGGTGGGGTGGTAGGAGGTGGTCGTGGCATTTTTTAACCATCCCAGCATTCGCCTAATGAGCGAGGGAAACCACGAAAAAAACTTGTCAGGATGGCCAGCCCGGGGATCGAACCCAGACCTCCCGATTGCGAAGTCAGTGCGCTACGCGTTGATTGACTTTGCTCGGTAAATAAGCTCGGCTGTCTCTTCTACCTCTAAAACTGCGAATGTATCGAAATGGACCACGGGCTACCTCACAATATGTTCCAAATGACGCTCTGAGAAGGGCCTAAAGTCTACTTCGGAAACGAGAAAAGGAACAGAGGGGCATGAGAAGTAAAACAAAGGTAGTAAATTCCTGGGGAAGGTGAAGCGACCATAAATTTAAAAAAATTAAAAAATACTAGGTGATGCTGATGGACAAAACGGTTTTCCAAAAAGGAATATGCACAATCCTCAAGAACCACAGATAAAATGTTCTCGTATGCAACGACAATAAATTAAATATTTTAACAAATCCAATCTTCACGAATAATAGAATAACATAATGTATTATATACGGAGAAAAACAGTTTTTTACGTAACAAGAATATCAAAAAAGTTGCAGTTCCATAACGCAATAAGTGAATAGTAAATGTTTAATGACGGGCGGCCTCTTCTATCGATCGTTGCTGTCACAAGACGTGTCCTGTGTCTTAAACTGTGACTTAATGAGTTAGTGCCAGTCAGTAATCGCAATATGAAGATATGTGATACACAAACCACAATCAAATATTTCAATTTTAAGTCAAAATCACAAACTTTAATCATTTAACATTTTTCTCGAGTATCTAATTACACCATAGACACGTCTCTCATGGCCAGAAAATGCATAGTTTTCTTTCAATTTCTGCACGCATTGGAAATTAATACTAAGCCCCTGGGACATTTTTAAATTTTTCTAAAAAATAGATCAAAATTTTTCTTTAAACATTTTGAATGGGTAGAATTGAACGCTAGAGATGAATGATATTTTCATATGATCTTCTAATTTTTCACAAATTTTACATATGTATGTTCAAGTACTATAATATTACTTAGTCGTTACAAATAATGCAAGAGTGTAAGTGATGTTGTAGCTGCACTAGATGCACTGGAGTTTGAAGGTTATTTCAGGCCCCGGAAATGTTACAACCCTGTTTACAAATTGTTACATGTGCCCGTTTTAGGCTCTTCCACCAGGGATTTGGATTCGAGCATGTGTTCCAACCGGAGATCGTTTTCAACCCCAGTCGCCTGCGCAACCCGGAGTTTTCGGACCAGTTTTTCGTCGCCATGACGCATCAACCCATGCAACGGGCAGACAACTTCGTTTCGCAGACCGTAAGAGTTTGCTCCTTTATAAATACAGACTTCAATTTTCTATAATCGCATCTGTCCCTCCATGTGAAACGAGTTTTTGAAGATTGCCTCTTCCTTGGTGGAACAGATGACCAACTACTTGTTCAACGGGGATCGGCCCTTCGGCATTGACCTGATCGCCATCAACATCCAGCGCGGCATCGATCACGGTCTGCCCACCTACGACGACATGCGTGTGCTACAGGGACTCCCGCACGCTCACTCCTTCGAAGACTTTGAGGACAGAATCCCTCCAGAGGTACGGCTGAATTATTGTGTTAGCTGAAGTACTCAGCATATCCCTTGCGTTTGATATAGAAGAGAATAGAAAATGTATGTTACTTAGGAGTATATGTGGTGGTAGAATTTCCTAAATACAATTACTAAAATACACAAGACAAATAATCAAACATTAGAAAATTACACATCATTTAATTCTGCTAAAGCTGGTATACTAATGTAAAATAGTAATAATAATATATATTTTATTATAATATAAAATAATTAATTTAATGTAAATATAATCTAAAATAATTACAATTTATTTAATCTACTTTTAAACATTTAGATATTCTGAGGGAAATCATCACCCCGCTCCCCATCGCCGCGAGGGAGGGCGGGGGGATGGGGAGCGGGGCGATGGGGAGCGGGGCGATGGGGAGGCGGGGCGATGGGGAGGCGGGGCGATGGGGTAGGGGGCGATGGGGAGTGGGGCGAATGGGGGAGTGGGGCCGATGGGAGCGGGCGACTGGGGAGGAGGGAGCGAATGGGAGCGGAAGGTGACTGATTCTCCCGTCAGAATACTAAATGTTTAAAAAGATTGAGATTAAATTGAAATATGTAATTTATTTTAGATTATTATTTACATTAAAATTAATTATTTATATATATATAATAAAAATATGATTATTATTACTATTATATATCATTAGGTAACGAGCTTTAGCAGAATTAAAATGATGTGTAATTTCTAATGTTTGTATTATTTGTCTTGTGTATTTAGTAATTGTATTTAGGAAATGCTCCTACCTATACATATACTCTCCCTACAGTAAGCATTAACATTTTTCTATTTGTCTCTTCTATATCAAAACGCAAGGGAGTATGGTCATGAAGTAACTTACAAGCTATACACATAAATAAATTCAGCCGTACCATCTGGAAGCGGACTTCAATAGTCCTCAAAGTCGTTCGACGAGTGAGCAGGTGCGGGATTAAAAGATACCACTTGCTAGCAGCCGCATGTCGTCGTAGGTGGGCAGACGCGTGATTGATGGCGCGCTGGATTTGGTTGATATGCCGCCGATCAGGTCATTATGCGCGAGGGCGATGTCCCCGTTGAACAACGTAAGTTGTTCATGCTGTTCCACCGAAGGAAGAGGCAATCTTCAAGAAAAACTGCGTTTACATTGGGGGACAGATGCGTTATAGAAAATTGAAGTCTTGATTTTAATAAAGGAGCCAACTCTTACGGTCTGCGAAACGAAGTTGTCTGCCGTGGCATGGGTTGATGCGATCATTTGGCGACGAAAAACTGGTCGAAAACTCCGGGGTTGTCGCAGGCGACTGGGCGTTGAAAAACGATCGTCCGGTGGAAACATTGCTCGAATCCAAATCCCTGGTGGAAGAGCCTTAAACAACGGGCCACATGTAACAATTTGTAAACAGGGTTGTAACATTTCCGGGGCCTGAAATAACCTTCAAACTCAGTGGCATCTAGTGGCAGCGCTAGGCAACATCAACTTACACTGGCTTGCTATTATGGTTGTAACGACTAAGTAATATTCTATAGTACTTGAACATACATACTGTTAACAATTTGTTGAAAATTTTAGAGATCATATTGAAAATTATCATATCTCTCTATGCGGTTTCAAATTCTACGCATTCAAAATGTTTAAAGAAAAAATTTTGATCTTTTTTTTAGGGATAAAAATTTTAAAAATGTCCGCAGGGGCTAGTATGTAATTTCCAATGCGTGCTAGAAATTGATAAGAAAAACTTGGCATTTTCTGGCCATGAGAGACGTGGGTCTATTGGTTGTACATTAGATACTAGAGAAAAATGTTAATGATTAAAGTTTTGATTTTGACTTAAAATTGAAATATTGTGAGTTGTAGGTCTTGTGTATTGCACATATCTTCATAATATTGACGTATTACTGTATCGGACATTCTAACTCTATTAAGTACTCTCAGCAGTTTAAGACATAGCGGACATGCGTCTGTAGCACAATAGCAAATTCGATCGCGATAGAAGTAGGCCGCCCGTTATTAAACATATTTACTATTCCACGTTTCTAATTAGGTTTTGGAAACTGGCTCAACTTTTTTCGATATTCTTGTTACGGTAAAAAAATCTGTTTGCTCTCTCCTGTATATAATACTATTATGTACTGCTATTATTCGTGAAGATTGGTAATTTGTTAAAATATTTAATTAATTTGTTCGTGTGGCATACGTAGGAGATCATTTTATACATGTGGATTGCTTGAGGATTTGAGTGCATTATTCCACTTTATTGAAAACCTGTTTTGTCCACTTTCAGCATCGCAAGCGTAGTGATTTTTGTTAATTTTTTTAAAATTTATGGTTCCGCTTTGCACCCTTCCTCAAAGGAATTTACTACCTTTTAGTTTTACTTCTCATGGCCCCTTCGTTCCTTTGTTTCTGGTTCTGCCGAGAGGTAGAGCGTTTAGGCCCTTCTCTGCGTATCGCTGTCATTTGGAACGATATTTGTAGAACGGTTTTCCAGCACGTCGCCACTTTCGGACTCACAATTCGCAGTATGTAGATGGTTCAGAAGAGACAGCGCGAGCTTACTTTACGAGCAAAGTGCAACTCAACGCGTTAGTCCGCACCTGTACTTTCGCAATCGGATGGGTCTGGGTTCGAGATCCCCGGGCTGGCCCATCTGCACTGACAAGATTTTTTAACCGTGGGCTTTCTCGCCCCGCTCATATTAGGCGAATGCTGGATGGTTAAAAATGGCGCAAGCGACCAGGCTGCGCTACACCGCCACGCTGGGCCTAGCTCGGCACACTTCATGGCTTGAGT